GTGATAATAGTGGACTGTAGTAGCAAACCTGCTGCTGAACAAAACCACACAAAATGATTTTCCAAAATGTAGCACGCCCACTGCTCGATAACAACAAATGTAACACTATTGTATAATAATACAAATGAAATATTTTAACAAAAACTGTGTTGAATAAAGCAGTAACATAAGATAGAATTTATACAAAAGAAGACTTTTTTCTTGCCAAGAATATCAAGAAAGTTGCTGATCCGTAACAAAAAACGTGAATATCAAACATTTAATGACAGGCGATCTCTCCTTGGAGCCTTGTTGTCACTTGACGTCAGTCGTGTCCTAAGAATTGTCTCACTGAGGATGAGAGTTTAGTCGGTGGGCGTAGGATGAAAGTAGAGAGAATAAGAATAAAATATTTGCATTTTTTTATAAAATCCAAATTGTTCTACTTCTTCAGTTTTTTTCACCGGTTTTCTGGTTATGCAACGCACCCCTTAGAGACCTCCCACACGTAGGTGTTGCGGTATGATATCTTTGGCATTTTTCATAAAATAATTAAAGACGTTGTCATTGCCAACAATATTATTTAATGCAATAGCAGCTTTCGATGGCTTAGCCATCATCATCAGTTGTCTGATACAAGAAGATATTTTTTTCTTCTTGTATCAGACAACTGATGATGATGGCTAAACCATCGAAAGCTGCTATTGCATTAAATAATATTGTTGGCAATGACAACGTCTTTAATTACCTCCCACATGGCCGAGTGTTGCAAAGTTTTCTTTTAATTTCTATGCGTATTGAAAATTAGTAAGAAACTATTTCGTTATATTACTGTGATGTTATCAAATCAACCATGGAGGAATCTTACAGGCGTTTCATGTCAAAATTTACAATAATTAAAATAATATCGAAGGCTTCCGCGGCCAGAGCCCGTCCATTCCTTTCCCCTTCCATCTGCTCGTGCCCGATTGGCCGTCACCTCGACCTGGCACAGCGTGGCCCACCTCTAGTCGCGAAGCGACTTAGGTTGGTCGGATCATATTAACAATACGGGTTAAATAAATCGCTGGAGACGCTTTCACTTTGTAATGCGTATTCTAAAAATAGGTAGTCCAATAGCCGATCCTAGCATATACACACATTGTTCGTCCATTTTAGATATCGAGCGGGCATGCTGAGGATCCTTACAGAAGGGACAAATCGAAGGGTTAGATAAAATTCAAAAACGGAGCCTCAAAGTTTGTAAACTCGCGGTGCGTTGGTGGAGAACGAGAGAATGGGAGTCCTCTATTAGAGAAGGGACGGGCGGCGTTTTATGCGTAAGTATAAGACATACAGAGGGAACGAGCATAGGGTAGATATTCGGGAAAGATTACGAGACAATCAGATTACTGTAAAGCAGAGAGACATTCCTTGGAAAAACGATATGTAGAGCAAAGAATGATGTATGGCAAGTTCTCCTTTTGTGAATGCACTATAATGAGATTGGAATAAACTACTCAGAAGCACTAGAGGCTCTTCCTTACTAATGTAGCCAAATTTAAAAATATATATATTAATCAGTCTTGCATAAACTGACTAAGACAAAAATTGTAGAATAAATAAAATACGATAGAATTATAATCTTATTTTATTTTACTTATTATTATTATTATCTATTATTTAACTTATTACTGTTATTATTATTATTTCTAATTTATGTCATGGCCTTATACATGTGAAGTAGATGTGGGTGAAGTGTAGTGGGGACGGGAGTGTAGTGATAGTAACTGGGGATGTGCAGTGTAGTGTAGTTAAGTGAGTGTTAATGTAAAATAGAAGTGAATTTAGAGTAGCTAGAATAATGGAAACTATTTATCGACCCTAACTGTCTATGTTAAGTAACCTAATTAGTAAATGTTAAATTGTTTTGTATTCTAATTCTAATTGGTTATCGTGTTGCCACGAGCATGAGATCAAAGCGACTTTTAATAAATTATTATCTATCTATCTATCTATCTAATAGAAACCGGAGCGCCCAACATCCTGGCGCAGTACAGCCCTGCAGAGGACCACGATACGTCGGTCGAAACGTCGGCACCTCAGCCTTCGACGCGGCGTCACCCGGACAGCCCAGATCATAACAATTAAAATAAAAATACGGGGTCAAGTGTGCGTAGTTTCAAGAACGGCAGTGAAATGTGCAGCCAGTGTACTGTATTACATTCTACTGAACTGACTGACGAGTGAGTACCTGCAGCACGAACTCTTGGCTGAGAAAGAAAGGGCCGCCGCAGTGACTGGCGTGGCGAGAACGGTTCCAGGCAGCGTTGCTTCCGCCATCACACATGCTCTCACTCCCTCAAGCACGACCTGCCACCGTGCAGCAAGTCACAGATTTGTTTGAATGATTCCATTTGTATATATCTTTTTGATGGTGAATGTACTTAAATATGTACGATTACACATTTTAAGTATTAGTAATCACGTAAAAAGTGATAATTGCTTTTTTTTAGTAAATGTAAATTATTCATGATAAGATAAAGCTTCGGATAACTGATTTTTCGTGTAAGATATGGAATCACGTTTAATAAGCAAAATACTACTGTACATTTCTGTTTCTGGTTCAAAGACTTTCATGTTTAATAATATCAACGTCGTAAGTATGGCATGAGCAAACGCATATAAAATATGCGGAACCTCAAATTGGGTGATGTATCGTTAACAAAAAGACCAAATGTATTGTAACTCCAAATACTGAATATTTCTTTCGGGCAGTTTAATTAAAACCATACAATAAAATATTATTTTAATAGAGTTTCATCCATAAACGAATGTTATTCCGAAACACAGTCACGAAAAAATAAGCAAATTTTATACACACATATTTCCCTTTTTTTGTTGTTTATTTGGCAAGAAAAGGCGTGTAAAATCATTATTTTCGTCAACTTATATCAATTTACCAAGATGAAATATATTGATGATTTCCTTTCGAGAAGATGCAGTGCAATTTATATTTGCGGTCGATTTGGGGACATAGCGTATACTCGTACTATATACTCACAGTCAGTACGCCACTACCAGATTCAGAGGTCTTTTTGAGGAACGACATCGAGGGTATTAGCAGACGCACACTTGCAAACAGCGGGTTTTAGAGACCAAAAACTTGGTTGTGATTATATACAGTATATGAAGTTTCTTTATCTATTATATACAATTAACGGAACCCCACGATCCAAAGTGATGACTAAGAATGCAGAAAAAGAAAAATGATTAAAATGACAAGTTTTAATTCAAATTCATTGTGGTTTTCATTCCAAAGAACAACTGTTTCATCTCTTCCTTCACCACAATCTCTGGCTTAGGTGGCTCAGGGTAACAACTGATGTCACAGTTGTGCCTCTGACCCGGAGGTCCTAAGGTTCGAGTGCCAACGATAAGAGGGTTTTCGGCACTAGCCAGATACTCGTAGCTAGGATGAATTCAACCGCGGAGGCGATTTCTAACGGCCGGCTGCTCTGATCGGTAGTTTTCAGTGTTTGTGGGTTTTCCTATCAACACCAAGCTAATGCCAGAGCAGTATCGTAACAAACGGGCCACGGAGCGCACGCGATCTTTCCTTCCTCGTCCTTGTCCTATTCACCACTTGCGTACATACACTTCAATGCACACTACTTTACCACACATGAGGGGAGGTCAGCTGGAAGCATAGACCTTGACCCGGCTGGGGCGGTGGTGCCCCGCTGGTGGGAGGTTCTAGTGGGCAAAAATCCCGCCAACGTGTAGGGCGTCACCGTATCTCACTATACAGCGCACGACAATCACCGCCACCTCCCGTGGCAAAAACATGCACTACACCTATGGGACTAATGACCAAAACAGTAGACGATAAAGTCCGATTTAAGAAAGTCATTTTCATGTCTTTGTTGTATTAAGTAATATATTTGTCGTTCGAAATTACTGAATCAGAATCAGTCAATTATATCACAATCTAAATGATCATCTCGTCTTATGCCTTTGTTAGGGATGTAGTGGAAACGATGTAATGCAATGATAAATTGCCAATATTTTGGAGTTGTGTGTTTACAAATAATAATTGCAAAATAATATGGTATGTTAGAGACGTACCAGAACTATTACATAGGATTTCCTGATCATTTAAGGAGCAATGAACTGTACTGGTGTAACTTTCTGAATAAAACCATTTATCCTCATATTTTCCCACTATACTTCGAGTTCCACACAAGCTCCTTTGACGTCAATTAACTGTTACGGTGTCATCCAATCGCAAACGTGAACATCTAGAGTGACATCACTGTAGCGACATATACGCTCCCGAATGGACGACACCGTAACAGCTGATGACCTGTCAAAGGCCACTCCGAATATATTAGGGTATATTTATCCACGCACTTGGCGTAAATCAACATGTCACGGTTTCATCCAAACGGAAGCTTGAATGTGACGCCACTGTAGCGACATACAAGCTCCCGAATTGATGTAACCGCAACAGCTGATTTACGTCAAGTGCACGACTAAATAAATCGCACTACAAATCGAAGTACAACGAAATGCGACCAAGTAGAAAGAAGCGCAGAGAGATGAGTGAAGACGGGGGTGGGCGCGCACGCGGGGCGCGTGTGAGGGGGCGATTCCGCCGCAGCGATCCCGAAGCACGCGCGCCGCACCGCCGCCGCGGCGCATCTCTCCTTGTGCGCGCGGTGACGTCGCGGGCGCGGCGCGGTGAGGGGCTGACGAGGAGCACGCAAGCCACGTTTCGTGTTGCGCGCCCCGCCGCCGCCATCGCTGTGCCCGCCGCCCGCAGCTCGCGCTGAGGATGCGTGGCCCGCGCAGCTCCGCGGCCTTGTCGGCTGCTGCTGTTGCTGGGCTGCACGCGCTGAGCGCGTCGCGCACAGTCCTCCGGCGACGCCTCCTCCGACGCTCGCCACCGACGCCCCGACGCGCCCGCACCGCCGCCCGCCGTGCTGCACCTCGGCGCCTCCATCAACATCTTCAGCCGCTACGGCTACCTCAGCATCAGCATGCGCGTCGTGCCGCGCAACGACAGCGACCCCACGTGGATCTTCCGCGAGCCCACCGTCGACATCTTCAAGAACGCCAGCCTGCGCGCGGCGCCGCCGCAGTCCGGCCGCGACCCGCGCCACCCGACGCCGGTCTTCACCGGCGACTTCCACATGGAGTTCTGCGACAACGTGCGCCAGCTGCTGCAGGCCTACTTCCGCGACTTCTCGCTCGAGAAGCTCGACCGGCCGTGGAGGGCCTTCTCGGGCAGCTGGAGCCGCGCCGCCATCGCGCGACATCTGGGCATCAACGCCACCTATCTCACGGGCGGCTACTCGTTTGTGCTGGTGCGGGTGGCGCGGCACCGCGAGCGCGCGCGGCTGCTGGGCGGGGGCGGAGCCGGGGGAGAAGACGCCGCTCCGCAGCCCGAGTTGGAGGAGGCGGTGGCGCGGGAGGCAGAGCTCGTCAGCCCCGGGGACGCCGCCTCGGTCGTCAACTTTGTGCGCAGCTTCGGCTCCCACTACATCGCCTCCTACGTCACCGGCAACTCGCTCTATCAGGCAAGTGCTCACCTGCCAGGTGGTCGCGAGTGGGATCCCCTGCTCTGGGCTATGTGCTATGTGCGGGTGCTTTTAAAAGCTTTCTGGCGTATCGCCGTTTTCTTTTCATTTGCGGTCCTTTCCCTTGGTGATAAAACAACATTTCTCCTGCATCACATGTGAACTCCACATTCAACTTTTGTTAGCGGTGATATTATGATTGTGCTGTGTCGGTGTAATACACGCTACTCGTGTTTCAATAGTCATCTAAGAGTGAACGTTTTGCGGATATAATTGATTTTGAGTGAAAGTGTTCGCAGAAGTAGAACTTCTATTCAAGATCTTCAGTAGAATTTTTTTAAATTGTGGAGTGCGATTCATTGTAAATTTCCACTCATTCATTCTCTTATAGTTACCACATCGTTAACTCCAATTTGCTAAAATATATCAACACCCTAAAGAATATTCAAAAATGAGATAATAGTCATACACCGACATCTCAGATAGTTCTTCGGTACGTCGTCCATATTTAAGATTTGATGTGGTTAGACTGCGTCTGAAGTATAGTTTTGATAGTTTCCATTATTGTTTGCCACCTTCAATAGTATTCGTTGAAAACGTGGATTTTGTTGTTAAAAATACGAGATTTTTTCTCGTTTTCTCCAAGCTCATGAGTATCGATTTGAATATCATAAAATGGGTCTTTCTACAAACTAATGACGTTTCAATGGCTACCTTTTTTTCAATTTGTTACAGTCCGTTAATACCCTCTGTTCTGTCGATAACAATATAAATCTAAAACTTTTTCAAATTTCTCTTCAACTTCAGGTAGTATCGTAAGCGTTCATATTTATTAACATTTCTAACCGAATCCCAAATTCGTATTTATACCTGAAACTGACATGTTTTTTTAATTTGTTTTTTGTGGTAATATGATCATTAATATTAGACTTTTAAAAACGGAAATGCAGTTTGAAGGAATATATTTAACTAAATAAACAAATATTGTATATTTGTCAGAAACACATTTTAATAAATATCGGCCAAGAACAGAGAATGATAAAAAAACGACAACTCAGAAGGTTAAATTTAACATGTCTTCCGTGACAATGGCAAGAGATTGAAGCGTTGCCACGGGCGCCAACGAGTGGTTGTAACAGGCGTCTATGATTCCGCAACACTCCCAAGTGCTTCCAGAAAAAGGTGTTCGGTTGTATTGTTTTCCTTCCATTCAAATTATATGCATTATGGTCTCAAATTCATCGTCGATTTCTTATTTCAATGGATAAAGAAATACTTGAATTATTGAATATTTTTCAAGAGAGATATCTTGAATACCTGGAGGATCAGGAAATTTTATTTTGTTCTTATTCACGTTTGTTAAATATTCCTTTTCCAATTAACTTTTAATCTTATCTTATAGCGAAAATATTAAAGATGTGCCAATTTACATGTCAATTTCATTCATATCTTCAATTTTACAGCACAATGACAATGTTACGAGAGCGACATTTTGACAACTTGTGATATGGTTATCGGACTTAACCTATAGTCAGTTCTAAATCAAGAGAATCGGTTAAGACTATAAGACAGTAAAATTTAGTAGAGATAACGTACACAGGAATTTACACGGTGTTACATAGAATTATTACGACGTTCAATGAAGAAACTTGAAGTTAATTGAGATAGAGTTACGAAGAATTCATAAAAGAAGATGAAACTAGTGTCGTCTAGGGACATTGTATTTTTTGAAAATGGTGATAGTTGAAAAGAAAAATAAACAAATGTCTTCATTAGCAAGGCTCAGATCTACCCTTCCGCCTGACCACTTTCAAACGTTGAATACAATACATAATAAATAGGAGGACTATCAAGGAAATACGCACGCAACTAGGGTGTAAGGTTTCTCGCAAGTGCGACAGGAATGAAAACTAGCGAGGAGGAGGTTAATGGGAGAGGAACACTCACAACAACATGGATATACAATACTATCTGAAGAAACATGGTAGTTGATTGTTTGATTATTGGCACGTCGATTGCTATGGTCACTAGTCCCGTTAGTGCAGTGATTTTTTTATCCCGAGAAATAGTGATGTCCCTTCGGTGGATAGTGATTTCTGAGGCCGATCTCCCGCCGGATCCTTCCTCAGTTATCACCCCTACTTGGGCACTGCCCATGCCTCAACAAAGACTTTAATCTCCTGATTGGTCTCGGGGACTAGGAAGAGATAGGAACGTTCTGCTGCCTGTTTGGGTCCTGCTCCGGCATTCGCCTAGTATTGATCGGAGAAACTGCGCAAAACTACCGATCAGAGCAGGCTGCCGCTAGAATTCTCCCCCTGCCAGTGACTGGATTGAATCTAACCTTATAACTAGTTTCGAAAATCCGCCAACGTTGGGACTCAAACACTAGGACTCGCTGATCAGTCTCTGCAGGGACTAAGGCAACGCTGGCCGCAAGCTAACTTAGCTGGTTTGAAGAAACCCGACTGTGTCAGGGTATTTATTTATGACAATTTGTTCGTAATCACGGGAAAATAAATAAATTCTTGCTGCAGTGTAAGATGTTAGAAAATTTGACATCTTCGCATCTTTCCCGTTCTGCTTTTCTCTGCCTCGTCTTGACCCCCCACGCCGTCCCCGCCACGACACGCCGACCCTGCCACGCCGACCCCTCCACGCCACATCTTGTACCGTCGCACTTGCACCTTCCGGCCTGAGAATATGTTTTGGTTAATCTTTGAAAGGTGTTTACCTTAGTTTAGTAAACTTATTGGAGCCTATTTTACTCATAGCACTTTTAACTGTTTACTCTCCCTGGACATTGTAGATTAATAGTCGGTATGTGCATGACATTTAATGAATTTATGTAAGAAGCACTTTAATCTTTCTGAAGTTTCAAAGGAAACTTGTATATACCGTACGGAATGATGAAGATGTCATTTAAAATACTTTATATTGTTTGTGATTAACTTCTTGATGCGCTAGTATTAAAGACATTTTAACTTCGGGCTTTGCAAAAATCGCCGTAGGATACTGAAACAGAAACGAAAACTCGTATGCCAGATTTGATGGAGCGTAGACTTATGTTCTATGAAGAGAAATGTTTCACTCTATGTTTCTCTCCCACTTTAATTCTTTAAAAAATTTGCACATATTTTAGAAATACTTGTTTTTTGTTTATTTTTTTTTATAATTTTAAGTAATCTTAAATCAAACTAGGTTATCCTTTCATTACTCAAACATTTGCGATTATTTCTGGCCATCTTTGAAACAAAAACCATTGTCATTATAATGAGACAATCAGGAGACCTAATTACGCGGCATGTAGAATCTCATTCAATACACTAAGACCTAAGGCAATGACTGTCAACGCACGTTTCCTATTGGAATAAAAGTTTGGGCTAGAAGTCATCTTAGGAACCAAAAGCCTTGTCATTATAATGAGACACCCAAAGGAACTAATTACAAGCCGTGTAAAATCTCTTTCAATACAAGGAGGACCAAGGCAGCGGCTGCTAACATACACTAAGGCCTAAGGCAATGACTGTCAACGCACGTTTCCTATTGGAATAAACGTTTGGGCTAGAAGTCAGCTTTGGCACCAAAAGCCCTGTCATTATAATGAGACACCCAAAGGAACTAATTTCAAGCCGTGTAAAATCTCTTTCAACACAAGAAGGACGTACGTTTCCTGTCGAGATAAAAGTTAGTGAAAGAGTGTGCTAGTGGAAGCGGATAAACACGGCGAAAGTAAGTGGAAAGCTGGCGTTTGTGGTGACGGATGGGCGCCGAGCGAGGGACTGTCTCGCGCCGCCGGGATGCAGCTGGGCCGAAGCAGCTCTCGACAGAGCCCTGGATTCGCGCCTCCGGAACTGCGACCGGAGTTCTTCGCGAGGAGAGGCCGCTGGCGACCTCCTTTCCGGCTGGAATTCTTTTTCTTTTCTTTTCTTTTTTTTTTGTTTTTTTGTTTTTTTGTTTTTTTGTTTTTGTTTTTGTTTTTTTTGTTTTTTGTTTTAAATTATGACCGTAAAAGGACACATTCTAAACAACGAATGCCTCCAGACCTCCTACCTATCGACTTGTTCATTACCCGTGATGTCAGTGAGAATATATTTAAATATTTCTTCTTTCATGTAAAATGATATGTAACCAAAAGTGGAGGTATGCACGTTCGTTAAAAAGTAAAAAGGTAATGTTAGGATATTATCCACTCTACATGAAAGTATTTCAGAGTTCGTTTTCACAGCTCCACTGCGATTTTTAAATATAGAATTATTAATTTTATTGCATCAGCCCTTTTCATTCGTTGCATATTCATTTTTAGTATTAGTATCTGGATTAATTTACTGTACGTACCGGGACTCCAAAATGTGCTAAATGAGTGATAGCACGCGTTCCAAACATATCCAACTTGTGCGGAACTCCAAACCATGTTTACGTAAGTGGAACGCGAACGCGGCGCTCGCTCACATCACTCTCACACCGCCGTCGCGTGACGAACGCACGCACTTCTTTGAGGTGGCCGTCGTCACGCGTCGTTTTAATGACTCGCATTACGTGTCCTCCCGCATCTGACGAGTCTAATTGCCTCGGAAGAGGAGACGGCGGCTTCCTTCCCGACCGAGGCGCCACGCCGGACAGCACCCACGCGTACGTCCGACGCTATGGTCATTAGTGCCTTTAGTGTAGTGAATGTGGAGGTGACGATGTTCCTTTTCCGCTGGAACGTGAGAGCCGGTGGCGACCCATACGCGGACTTGCGGATTTCCCCCCTCGAAGTATCTCCTCCAATGGGGCACCGCACCGGTCGGAATGAGCTCGTAAGATTCCCATTGGCCTTCCAATGAGAGGGTATCTACGGTATGGCAGATACGACTCGTGCCATAAGCGCCACTCTCAAAAGGGGCACTAATTAGAATATACTCGCTAAAAGAAATAACAACAACCCTAATTTGAAATATTCTGACGAGGGCGCGAATTCTATTCTCGCTTTGGGCGCCTGAATATCTAGACAGGCATCTGCTTCCGTTATATGCGTTAGTGAAGAGTGCGCAAATGTGTGTGAAGTGAGGGGGTGAGGAAGGGACAAAGAAGAGGAAGGAATGATCGCGCTCGACCCATGGCCCATTTGTTAGGGTACTGCTCTGGGGTTCGCCTGGCGTCGAGCGGAAAAAGCACAG